AAAAAAAAAAAAAAAAAAAAAAAAAAAAAAAAAGAAGAAGAAGAAGGAAAAAAAAGAACATCCTTGAGATTCTTACTCTCCTCACTTCAAATCTAAGTTTCCTGAGCAAACTGCTGAAAAAGTAGCCTAGAAACTCTAAAAATTTTTCTGGTTTATTTATTTATTTATTCATTCATTTTGTGTGTGTGTGTGTGTGTGTGTGTGTGTGTGTGTGTGTGTGTGTATACATGCCAGGCCATGTATATGTCATGGCACATGTAGGGAGGTTAACCTGCAGGAGTCTGTTCTTTCTTTCAACCATGTGAGTTCTAGGGATGAAACTTTGGTCATCAGGCATGATGGCCAATGTCTTTACCTAATTGTTGTGCAAGCCTGTTAATATTCTGACCTGCCCCTTTGAAATCCTGCCCCTTTGAAATCCCGTCCCTTGGGGCTGCCCTGCCTCCTGATGTAGAAGCCTCTTTTTAAGGAAAAACTCTGCCCCTTCCTCTCTCTCTTTCGCTTTTCCTCCCACAAGGTGTGCACCCCTCGAACTCCCTCTTTCTCGCTGTCTCTCTCTTTTCTAACTTTCTCTTCATCTCTCTATTAGAATAAACTATGTGCATACAGCGTCTGGGTTGTGAATTGCTGGCTGCTGCCAGGGCCATAACTGCATGGCGTACATCTGCCCAGCCTGCCGATGCATCTGCGCAGCATGCCAGCATGGTTCCCAGCATGAGTGGAATACCCTTTCCCACATGTGAATAATTCATAACAAAGCCCCCCGAATTAGCAACTAAAGAAAATGATTTTTTTTTTTTTTAAAGAGGGAGGCAGTGTTACACACTTCCAAAGAGCACCATGAACAGAGACTTTCCAGTGTGGATAGCCTAGTTGGGAAGTAACATTTAGAACTCTGACCATTTCTGCTTAGTCTAAACTCAGGTAGTTTCCATGAGCTTGAATCATATAATAGGTGCCCAATGTGCCTGGACTGGATTTCTTGGGTTCTTGGTCACCCATAGACTTCATGCTATATCTAGCTATTTGTAGAAGAGGCGTTCACAAAGAAACTTTAGGCAGGCCAATGGAAGACAGGTGGTCCTTCCCTTCATGGCTTGGCTTACCTCAGAGATGGACCTGACAAATCGGATCCCATCATTTGCTCCTTTCACCTTGGCTAGGCACGCACAGAAGTAATCCCAATAGTCCTTCTTGTTACCCAGGAGGCTAGCCTTCTCCTTCTGATCAAACTGAGCAAAGAAAGGAACAGAGAGGAAGTCTGAGCCCACTGTTGTTCATGCTCCATTAACACAATAAACATTACTAGCTTCCTGGGGACAGGCACTGAGGGAGGCCTCTTGCTGTTCTTACTTTAACTTATTGGCAAACCCGAGTATCTTAATCTCAAAACAAGAGTGTTTTAATTCACAAACTTTTAGATGTGAAACTGAGGCTAATAAATACCAGTTCAAGGTCATATTAACTAGTAAGATTTAGGAATAATAGTTATCATAAAAGATTTATCTCTTGGTACTTGCCTAGCATATACAAAGCCTGAGTTGTAGTTCTAGTATAGCAAACTAGAGTGACTGACTGATAGAAAAAGAAAAGAAGGAAGGTAGAAAGGAGGATGAAAGGAAGGCAAGAATGATAAAAGGAAAGTGATAAAAAGAAAAAAAGAAGAAGAGAAAGATTTATTTTAAGGGTTACTACCATAGTTTGGTGGAAAACCTCCAATGTGATAAGGAAATTCAAGTGAAGAGTCTTATGTCAACATTCAGAGTATTAACTGTGCTGTAACTTAGGGAACTGAGGTAATGACATTTTATCCATTACTCAACTCTCAAGAGTTAATACTATGTTAAAATACATGAAAAATTCAAATGAATGTCAGTATTGAGTACTTTCACATTCAAAACCAAAATGGGCTTAACTGGAAAAGGTAAAAAAACAAAACAAAACAAAACAAAAAACCCAAACAAACAAAGCAAACCCTCATAACCACCTGGTGTCAAAGAACCAGCTGGAGGCATAAGGTAAGTCCTTCCATGCCTGTCTTTATTTCTAGCAGCTCTCTCACCCTCTGTTCTCTGGTGGGATGTGATACTGTAAAAAGTATGGTAGGTATCTTTCTATACCATCTAGAGAATTTCTCCCTGGTTATGGAACAAGATTCAAATGTGCTATTTTCAAATCTAGGCAACACAAAACAAAACCCAGGAGAACAGTAATGCCTCATATAATTGTGGTAAAATGACTGCAGGTCCATTTCTTTCCTGCCTATTTCAAAAGTATGTGATTCCTAAATCAGCAGAGTTGTCTGAGTCAAATTAAGAAGACACAAAAGTTACACCATTAAAATGTTAAAATAATTGTTTGCTTGACTAACCCTGATTTATAAATAGCCATATACACAGTAACCATGTGCAAGGCTCTGAAATTGGCCTTGATGATCTTCCAGAGTCTGCTTTCTCGGAAACCACCTTTATACCTGGCTTGTGTACATATAGTGTGTCTGTAAGGGTGAGACACCAAACTACAGGGTTCAACAAGTTCTCAAAGGTTATAAGTAACTACCCTGCCCTACAGTTAAGAGCTTTGTTGGACAGGCCTGTGACTTGCCTTAAGATGGCTTAAATCTTAGAGGAATGTTTTCAGTTCCCAGAACATCCTGACTCATATGGGAGGACTGAGCTCTTGGGACTGTTCTGACTCTTAGTCTTACCACAAGGGCTTGATTGTTCCATTGTGCTTTCTGAACCACATCCTGGAAACTGATAAAAGTCACTCAAATGGGGAACAAGAGACAACTGTGACAAAACCAACACACAACAGGAGCCACTTACTTGCAGAAGATACTCAAGCTTATAAGAAAACTTGTGTAAGCTGGTGCTGTCATCTGTGATTGGTTCTCCTCCTTCCTTAAATTCATTGCTTAGTTCTGTCACTGCATCTTTAAGACAAAAACAGGAACATAGGACTAGAGAGACATATCTGTCTATTTTACATTTTAACAGCCCTTAAATTAGCATGCATCTTAGATGTACTGAAAAGTAAGTCTGAGAAAGCAGAAATAACAACAGGAAGCACAAGGATAAGTGGTCAGTGATGGTCACCTTAGAAACACACATGACTTGTAAATATTCAAGTGATATAACTTCAGTTAGGAGAGTGAAAATGTACTAAGATCCCATAGACACTGCAACAGCTTGCTGACTGGGCACACTTTTTAAAATTCATCCCTGTGGATCCACCATCAAGCTAGCACTATGTATACACAGCCAGTCAACAAATAGTTACTATGTGGATTAATCATGCAGTGTCACAAAACAAAACACCCAATACTGGGTATTCACAAAGTAAAAATATTTATTTAACATTTTAGCAGCCCTGGAATTAAGATTCATGTTAGATGTGTTGAAAAATAAGGCAATACTTTCTCTGCAAGGGTGTGTTAAACAAGAAACACACCTAAAAACAAGGCATCAATTTTGGAGGCCCCAAATGGTGGTCTCTGGTATTTAATAGTGTGAAGTTCCCTTTTATAATTTGTCCCCACAGGAATTAAACCATACCTAAAAGACGACTCTGTGAAACCAGCATTGAGTTCTTTTCAGGGTGGTCATGACCCAATCACCTGTCACTAGACTCTAAAGAGGTTCCATTTCTTTCCAACAGTGGGAGCCAAGCTTCTAGCACAAACCATATCGTTCACTTACAACCCTATCAGCACAGGTTGAATACAGGTTTCAGAGCATCAGTAAGTACAAGTAACAGTAACAATGATAACAATATCTGTTTCTGTTAACTGGATGCTTAAGAGGGGTCAGACCTTCACATGTATTTTTCATTAATGGAGTATCTGCCTTATTTCAATAAGCCTGAAATGTTATATAATATGCACTCTAGTTTTAGCACTGAGAAAAGATGAAAAAATTAAATACGATATAGAATCCAAGAAATCTCTTATTATCACCCCCATTTTACATTTAAAGTATGTAGGGGCCAGAGACTCAGCTTAAGATCCTGTTGGCAAACAGCAGAGCTGAAGCAGACATTGGTCCCTTCACCTCTCCAGAGAACAGTTTGCTCCCCTTGTTTGTCGGTTGGGTTGGTGACAGGATGTAGGTTTCAAGACTACTGAATCAACTGTGAGATTTCTGTGAGGCTAATATAGATTCATAAGGCTTTCTTTGAAAATTAGCCACTGTGACATAGAGAAGACTATCTTGTGGTGAAACTTCTAAAGGCCAATGGCAAACACAGATTTGCCCAAACTGTCATTTATTTTCTCTATATGTCTGTATAGATTAAACAAAACAAAAAACACTAAACATTTTAGCTGAAAGTCTAATGTGGTCACGAGCTAAGACTGATGATGTATAACCCCAAGCTTTGTTCCGTACTGGTTCTGTGATAGTAAGAAAGGCAGATACTCCACTGTGTCTATTTTCTTCACTGCAAAAACAGTAGCAGCAACAGCATCTACCTCATAGGACCAAACAAGAAGATTCCATAGGTCACTATCGGTAACATGTATGGGCAGCAGTGTCTTATGTACATGAAACACCATACAAAATATGAGGCCCCAAAGCACTATAAAAAGCAAATCTGAGAAAACGGGTTAGACCTTGTGGGCTTTGGATCTCAGATGCAGACTGTGGACCGCACTAAAGGTATCCCAGACTAAAGGCTTTTACTATAAGATTTGTACTTGTTTGTCTAGTCTAAGCAGATAGGAACCTGGATTTCTAGGCTGTCAGGGAAGTGTCACTGTGACCTCTGCAGGCACAGCTCAGTGACAAATGTGCTGGCACTCCAGAGGATTATAAAAATCAAGCCAGGCAGAGTTGGGGGGTGAGAGTTCTACTAAAATCTGGTCCTTGGGAAGTCATCTAAAAGGGTAAAACTTGGACTCTGCAGTCCACAGAAATGCTGTTATTCTGTCAAGGTCTAGCTGTGGTTTTGTCTGTTTCCCTTTTCCTGCCTTTCTCCAATGGGGAAGGACTACAAACCCAAGTGACTCCCTCAGGAAGCCTGGAAGTAGTAGGCCTGGTACTAAAATGTATGGGACAATGGCCACCAGTGGCTAGGGGCTGGTGTGGGGAGAGGCAACATGAAACCTCCAAGTAAATCACCTGCCTTGGTGCTTGAAGACAGGAGAATGTTCCTCCCCCTAAAGTCAAGCTCACCGAAGTCCAACAAGGGGTGGGGGTGACTCCACCAAAGGCAACTAGGCAGCCTAAAGCACAAAGAGCTGAAACTAGCCCCAGTCCTCTCACTGGTATTTGATTTTGTTCACAAACTAGCTGTGTTGCTATGAGAGGAGTATAAAGTAAGCCCTCCCATTGCACAGAGGCTGGCTATCTGAGAACCAAATATTTTAATATGATGCATACTATGTGTGAACGAAGAGGAAAGGGCTGAATTCTGATAATCAACAGCCAGGGCACAGGCCCAAGTTCCTCAAAACCAAGCCCAATTCACCAGCCACTCAAGCAGACCTTGTAGATCACGGATGATCCTCTGGAGCTGGGTCTCAGCGCTGTTAGAAGCCATGGTGTCCCCCTTTCTGGGATGTGTAGGTCCAAGACAGACTATCACTTCAGTGCTGTGTGGCTGCCAGTCAGCAGTGGTCAGACTTCATGGTGACACCTGTACAGGGAAGAGACCAACCACAGTTTAAAGAATGTAGAGGACCTCCACTCTAGGCCCTTTCCTTGAAGAGATGGATTGACCTTTTCTGTGTGAATCTTGTTAGCAGGTACTCTCAAGTTTGCTTCTGAAGTGCTTATACTCTGACACTATGACATGCTTCTAAACTGTTCTTTGGTTTGTCAACTTGACACAAGATACGTTTTGTTTAGTTTTGTTTGTCAACTTGAAACAGCTAAAGTTATCAAAGAGGGAACCACAAGTGAGAAAAATGCCTCTTATGATTGGCCTGTGGACAAGCCTCTAGAGCATTTCCTTATTTAGTGATTGATGTGGGAAGGCCCAGCCCATTGTAGTTGGTGCCACCATTGGGCAGGTGGTCCTGGATGGTGTAAGAAAGCAGGCTGAGCAAGTCATGAGGAACATTTCAGTCAGCAGCACTCTTCCATGACTTCTACTCCAGTTCCTGCCTTGGTGTCCCTCAGTAATGGGAATGTGACTGGAGAGTTTTAAGATAAAATATACTCTTTTTTTCCCCAAGCTGCTTTTGGTCAGTCTTTATCACAGTAATAGAAACCCTAACTAAAATACAGACTTAGCAAGAAGCAAGATCAACTTAATAGCAATAATTGGTTATTTCTGAGCTGCCCATCCTGTCTCTTAGGACAGAAGTGCCTCATATTTCATCCTCAGAAAAGTCTTCAGTGACTCCCTTACCGTTTTTCCACAGAGGTCAAACCTGCTTATTTCAAATTTTGACATCCCTAAACCTTGAGGAGCCAGCTCTGTTCAGAGCCACTTTTCTCATATTCCTTTCAAAGGAACAGTCAGAAATTTCTAGTTAGGCAGTGTTGGGGGTTGGGGGTGGGGGCAAGAGGCAGGGGATACATACCCTGCTTCTGACAGGGACAGCATGGCCTGTCTAGTAGAAAGTGGCTCCTCCATTGTCAGTGGTTTGAGCCTCTTCTGCCCCGTGTTCTGCTAAACCCGAGGGTGAAAATACTCCTTGACCTGCCACCCAGGAGCCTACATAGCCCTCCCTCCAGCCCAGGATAAAGTACTATTTTAAGCTCAGTCATAGTTTTCTCCAGCTTGGAGAGTCCCCTACTTGGGCAGCTGTTAATGTCATTTAAGGACACAGTAGTGTCTGAAGACCAACAAAAAGGAATGTGAGCACCTGGAAGGGAGTTATGACTATGCATTTGGACTCAAGACCTTTCAGATGCTTTAATTTACCCTTTAAGTATCTTGTGTGAAGGTGCAATGTCTACTATAAGGACAGTAGCAGCCACATTACTGACAGCCTGCTCAGGGCTCTGGTCTATTTTACAGAGAGCACTTACTTTTCACAATCATCATGGTAAGGTAAACACCTTCCTGTTTACAAAGGAAAATCTGATGTTCTGTAACCTAAGGCCCAAGGTCAATGAGTAGAGCTGACTTGATTACTGTTCTATGTGATTTCAAACCTGGGGTTTTCCCAGTAAATCCTGCTGAACCTTTAGGACAGCATAATCATCACTACAGAAAATGACTTAACTCTTCTACTGGCTCCTAGGAACTACCTTCAACTTCAGTGGTTCCCAATAACATGCCACACTGAGTCTATCTAACATGTGCCAGCTCTTACTCATTCAGTGCTGGGCTTCCTTCTAGCTTCAGGAGATGGGACAAGGAAGCCCTGGAAAGGAAATGGCCTTAGCCATACACAACTCCAAATATTTATAAGCATTTTAGTGACCAGTCAGGTGACTGGTCAGGTCAGCATAGGCTTGTCTATTTTTAACTCACAAGCCAACACAGTTGTGACTCAGTGAAAACATAGAGGACTTCTCAAGCCCAGGAAAAAAGAGCCAGGCACTTAGCTAGACCACAGTCCCACTAATGCATGACACAGAACTTCACAGAGTCAAGGTTCAGGAGTTCTTGAACCACTCTATAAAGGCCCCCAACAAATACTGGTACCATTCATCAAGTATAATAGACTGGGGACAGGAGTGGTTTATGAGAAGCTTGCTTCTCATCCCAGTGTTTCTCCTAGGTTACATGCTGAACACAGAGACCAGGTAGAGTTTAGTCATAGCTCTAGAGAGCGCCAAAGCCTATGCTCAGTTAACCTTTTTTTTCCCCTTAATTAAAAAAATATTTATTTATTTATTTATTTATTTTATGTACACAAGTGCTCTATCTGCATGCATGCCTGCACCCCAGAAAAGGGCATCTGATCTCACTACATATAGTTGTGTGCCACCATGTGGTTGCTGGGAATTGAACTCAGGACCTCTGGAAAAACAGCCAATGCTCTTAACCACCGAGCCATCTCTTCAGCCCCTAGCCTCTTCACACAAGGCCCAGGCAGACAGTCTCTGTCTTAGTTTGCTTTCTATTACTGAGATAAAACACCATGATCAAGCTGGGTGGTGGTGGCTCATGCCTTTAATCCCAGCCTTCAGAAGGTAGAGGCAGGTGGATCTCTGAGTTCAAGGCCAGTCTGGTCTGTAGAGCAAGTTCCATGACAGCTAGGGCTACACAGAGAAACCCTGTCTTGAAAAACCAAAAGCCAAACCAAATCAAAACAAAAACCCCTTGATGACTAAAAGCAATTTGAGGAGAAAAAGGTTTATTTCAGTTTACAGTTATAGTCAGTCATGAAAGGAAGTCAGGGCAGGAACATGTGACAGAAACCCAGAGGCAGGAACTGAAGGAGAGGTCATAGAGGCACACTGCTTACTAGCTTGTTCTTCATGGCTTACTTAGCCTGCTTTCTTATTCAAGCCAAGACCATCTGCCCAAGGGAGGTACTGCCTGCAGTAGGCTGGGCCCTTCCCACAGCATTCATTAAGAAAATGCCCCCAAAACCTGCCTCTGGGCCAATCTGATGTCTCTATTAAAGTTCCTTCTCCCCATATAACCCTGGCTTGTGTCAAGCTGACAAAACAAACAAACAAACAAACAAACATGAAATCTAACCAGTACAGCCCCTATTGGTAAGGTAGGAATGACTCTGTATCATCACTATCTACATGTGGCCCTATCATCACCCTTTATTAGATGTTTTGTGTAGGCAGAGAGGCTCATAAGGTACAGTCCAGCTTTGCTGAAGCTGAGCAACATGCTGGCTAGTTTTATGTAATTTGATACAAGTTAACCTCATCTGAGAGGAGGGAGTCTCAATTAAGAAAATGCTTCCATACAAGCCTGTAGGACATTTCCTTAATTAGTGACTGATGTGAGATGGTCCAGCTCATTGTGGGTGGGGCTACCCATGAATTACTAGTCCTGGGTTCTATAGGAAAACTGTCGAGCAAGTCAAGAGGAGCAAGACAGTAAGCAGCACTTCTCCATTGCTTCTGCATAATTTCCTGCCTTCAGCTTCTTGCTCTGCTGGAGAGTTCCTGTCCTGACTTCCCTCAATGATGAACAGTGATGTGGAAGAATAAGTCAAATAAACCCTTTCCTCCCCAAGTTGCTTTTGGTGATGGTATTTCATTATAGCAATACTAATCCTAACTAAGACAGAAACTGATACCAGAAGTGGGGTTATTGTTGTGCCCATGCTGTTTTGGAGAAGATTGTGGAAGAACTTTGGAACTTTGGGCTAAAAAAGCCATTGAGTGTTGAGACTTCAGTGGGCTGTTCTGTAGGCGCTTGGAAGACAACATTGAGAACAATGCTGATGATAGAGGCCTGGTGAGAGTTCCTTAAAGACTCTACTAATGCTGTTTGCTATTTTGGACTAAGAACCTGTGGTTCTAGACAGCTGGGCTGAAGAATTGACTGTGATTAACAAGAGATCAGAAACACTAAAGTGAAACCTTTGCTTTGCTGGGACAATGGATGCTGGTCAGTTGAGGCTGAAGAATCAGCTGTGATTAAGAGAGACCAACATCATCAAGGTGAAGTCCTCTAGAAAGTGTTTCCTCAGGGTCAGCAGACAGAAACTGTGTTCCAGGAGAGGCCAAGGTTCTACCTCATGCTGGTGCTGAACTTAGCTGTGTAAGAGTCACCCAAGTGGTATAGGCTGAAGACATGAAAGGGTCATAGAGAGTAGCTGAGGCTTGGCTCTATGTGGCAGGGCTGCAGTCCCTGAAGAGAGCACAGGAGAGGCTACTGGTCAAAGTATAGCTCAGCTGCAACAAGAGACCCAAGCATTTTGGATATGCCAATACCATTGGTTGACTGCCAAGTACAGCAACAGCCATGGAATGGAGTCTGCCTGAGCTTAGGAGACAAGCTATGTGTGCTGAAGAGAGTGGAACAGAAGTGACCCAGGCCCTGTGGAGGAGCCCAGAAGACTGTGAGTGGATTCCAGACCTTGGACACTGAGTTATTTACAAAGTTGGAGTTTGGCTTTGCTTTGTTTAGATTTTGACTATGCTCTGGTTCGTTGCTCTTGAGGTAAGAAAGTATCTAACTTATTTTTGATTTTATAGGAGTCTGCAGTTGGGAAACTTCAATTTTTTTTTAGAGACAATTTTTTTAAAGTATTGGCATTTGTAAGACTATTAGACTTCTTAAGTTTGTAAAATGTTTTATGTTGTGATGTTAATATTAATGTGTGACCATGGGGATGAACAAGAAAGGAAAGGTTGTAGCTTAACAATGATGTGTTTGTGTGTCAAGCTGACAAGGGGTCAATTATGCTGGCTAGTTTTATGTCAACCTGACACAAACTATAGTCATCTGAGAAGAGAGAACCTCAATTGAGAAAATGCCTTCATAAGATCAGGTTGTAGGCAAGTTTGTAGATTATTTTTTTAAATTAGTGATTGATGTGGGAGGGCCTCAACCATTGTGGATGGGGCCACTTATGGGCTGGGGTTTTAGGTTCTAAAAGAAAACAGGGTGAGCAAGCCATGAGGAGCAAACCAATAAGCAGTAGCCCTCTGTGGCCTCTGCATCAGCTCTAGCTTCCTGCCCTGTTTGAGTTCCTGCCATGATTTCCTTCAGTAATGGACTATGATGTGGAAGTATAAGCCAAATAAACTCTTTCTTCCTCA